AACTGTTTAATTTAATGTATGCTTAATTTTAATTGAGAGATTGAAACTGAAAATGGTTAATTTATTTTATTGCATTTCAACAGAGGTGTCTAAGGCAGAAGGGAGGGTTGGGCAAACTACGAATATGGTTATTGGAGGCACTGTGTCGGATGATTCTACCAATGAATGGCTCACTTTGGACCAGAAGGTACTATTTCATGAATTTGTTCATTGATGGTTCTCTTTGCTTAATGTTGCTTTTAATTGTCTATTTTGTTTGTACATTCTGGTACTTTTGATTTTTGTTATTCCCTTGGCATTGCAATACTTATGTGTTGTAATGTGTGCTGCACAGGTGAACTCATACCCAACTGTTCGAGGATTCACTGCAATAGGAACGGGAGGTGAGGATTTTGTGCAAGCCATGGTTGTTGCCGTGGAATCCGTAATACAGCAGCCTATTCCTCAGGTGTGTATTCATACCCCATACCTCTCAGCACTATTGTAGAAAGCAACCAAAGGGAGCTACTAAATTCTGCCACCTATACGGCACAAATATAGCCCGTTCTAATTGTATTGGAAATTAGAACTGTAACATATACATATCTGATGTATATTTTTTTCTTTTTACGATTTGTGTGTTACTATTATTACTTTTAGGCTATTTCTTGAACTTTTTTTGTCTAAGATAGTTGTTTCTTGAACTTCATAGGATGATTGTTGATGATGAATACCATTTTTGTTTGTTAGGCCTGTGAATTGTCATTTCCAGTTGGAACTATACATTCTTGCCTTATGTTCCAATGTTGATTTAAAAAAACCAACGAAATAAAAACCAGCTAATTGCAATGATTGTTACAAATTTTCATCTGTATTAACACTATCTAATTCAGTATCACATTCCGTGCAAACAATCAATATTTTTACATCCAACTTTGGAAGATCATTGCAGCTGCAGCCTTTGTTTTTGCACAGGATTGCTGCCACGGTTATTCAAAGATCATATATGAATATATATAATTTATCTACAGAATAGTTCTTGGGCCTGGGCTGTAAGCTTACAGAGCTGTCGCCAATAGTTATAACAATACCAAACTACTACCTATTGACCTTCGTAATAAATCATATTTACATTTTATTATTGAGGTAAGAACCAAGAAGCTTGAGAATTGAGATACATCCAATATAGAGATAAAAAATAAGCATTGAAAAGAATAAAGGAACTGGTCTTGCCTGCATTCTAAGGAGTGTGCTCAGGGGGTTTCACACAGTGAAAACACTTTGAAGCTTGTGCTGATAGTTTCCATTATAAGGTGTGTGCCCCCTAAACTCTCTTCTGGATGTTGCTCGTAGGGAAGGAAAACACAATGAATATAATTTTAAGAACAAGTTTTTAGAGTTTCTTTTGAGGTGTATTGCCGGTAAAGTCCTTCGTGGATGTGTTCAGAGTTTCCTACGTAAGTTGTATTCTCCCTAAATCTTTCAAGCATGCTGCCAAGGTTTTCAGTATGAGGTTTATTGCCCCAAAATTTATTGTGGGAGTTGCTCAAAGGAAAGGAAAACACAGACTTTTAAGCATGTGCTCACACACACACACACTATCAAACATGTGTTTAAAATTTCCAAATGGTGTGTCCCTTAAAATATCTTTTTGAAGTTGCTGAAGGGAAGGAAAACACACACGACACAGTCTTTGAAGCGTGTGTTTTTAAATTGAGGAGGAGAAATATGAAGGAGATTTGCATCAATAGGTTGAGTCAACCACATGAGTGAACTTCATATCACGTTCAATCTAAAACTTTGACACTACAGCTTTGTAGATATTCACTTCTATGTTGCTCAACTTATCCATTCTCATTCAATGTGAAACTAAATAAATAAGAATATTCATGTGTGTACCAATATATGGAATTCATCCTATGTCTCCTCGGTTTCTGTCCTCTCAACATTGTACCAAAAATGTACCAACCTCCATGATTTGTTTTGTCACTAATCCTTTTAGTAGCACCAAAAGATAGGGACACAAACTAAATAATCACCATGAGTGTAATAGTCCTGAAAAGTATCTCACTCCTGTCTCTTACACTGTAAGTGCCTACTCACACACAATTTAAATCTAGATATAGCACTGACTAAATAATCATCATCTATGTAATAGTGCCGAAGAAAAGTATCTTGCTCCTCCCGCTTACATGTGTTAGTGCCCATTCTCACACTCAAACTAAGTTTTGCTGATCTAAAGCATAAATCTAGACGTTAGCGTCATCCTATTGCTAGATGGATTTGCTTGTTATCTTGTGATGGATATATAATTTGCCCTTATTCTCCAATATTTGGATAGAAGTTGAAGTCATGCTCTCCTAAAACGAACAAATGTTACTAGGTGGGTATATAATTTGCCTTCATTTCTATTTGAACTTTCTTTTACTCAAGATGTTTGGGAATTCAGGTAAACGCGGCTTTATTTAACTTTTTTTCGATAACCTCTTATCAAATGGAAGATTCTTCATGAGTTTAATTGGGAATCTTATTGAAATAAATCTTAACAGGATGTGTTTTCATAACCATCTATTTGAACCTAAGTAAAATTTAAAATAAGTTAAAAAAAAGCTAATAGTAAGATCATACGCCACTTTCGCAAGCTCTAAGTATGATTTGTCCAAACGCTCCCACAATATATGGTTATTGATATTTTATGAAGTATTAATGTTTTACCTTATAGTTGTGAAATTGCCTTCAAGGGATTGCTACAGCAAGATTCTGGAATATTGCATTATTAACTCGATAATATAATATTTGTATCTTTTTATTTGGTGGCTGATGTTCGTATTTTAAGAACGTTAACTTGTCTGTTACAGGGACGTGTGAAGCAGAAGTTATCTGCAAGAGGCAAATATGTATCTGTAAATATTGGGCCTATACAAGTTGATTCTAGTGAACAGGTTTTTCTCTCTTGTTTACTTGTCTCTTTTCCTCTTGTTGAAGTAAACTTTTGTAGCCTTTTTTCGCTAAAGATGGATTTATTCGGGAAAAAAGAACATGAAACCCCCCATTTGTCCTGCAAATGATTCTTGGTGAATACGTCATGATGTGGAATTTTGTTGTATTTTTCAGGTCCAAGCTGTATATAATGCCATGAGGAGGGATGACAGGATGAAATATTTTTTGTAGTATTAGATTTTGTATAGAATGATGTGTTTCCAGGGGATGAATTTACTCGTCTGCCTTGAAGTGGTTAGGCGGATTTTGTTCTTTGATTAACCCATCATATATCATTGCAATCATTATGCAAATTTGACCTCTGCTGTATCTTAGGAAGATGTAATGTGATTATTATGATTTATTACCCATAGTTATAATGTTATATACATTATATCCTAGTAGATTGGTTCAGTTTAGTTTTCTACGTTTCATTTAGTCTACGACATAATTGGAAAAGGACAGCGAAACGTGCTATGAAATATCTATTTCACTGTTAATATGGATATTGTTTCGGTCGTGGAGTCGAGAATTTTTACAAAACATTCATTCACAGGTTCTGCTTAGATTATAACACTTTAGTTAATTCCCTTCAGAGGTTCTGCTTACGTTATAACACTTTAGTTAACTTTCTTCTGTTGTTTTTTTAATGGTCAGAATAAAATCTTAAATTCGAAATAAAAAATTGCATTTGTAAATTTTGATATGAATTTATAATTAACAAATTTTTAATCATGACTCATTTTATATATATATATATATATATATATATATATATATATATATATATATATATATATATATATATATATATATATATATATATATATATCCTTTTCTCATATTTATCTATATTTTAAAGAAAAATTCCCAAAACTATGTAATCAACACTTAAAAATTAAAAATGGTTGAATTTCTCTTTTAGGTAATCTATCATTTCTGCTTTTGACACGAAATGAAAATCCATTGCGGAATGTGAATAAGAAGTGGATGGGAGCAACATCTGAGAGGCGTCTTGCAACTTTCAATTAAAATGCTCTACCTTGCTCTTTTTCCACGATTGGCACCTTTAACCAGCAATTTTGTTTGCTTATTCTTTCTTCTTCTTGCCATTTCTCTTTCAATTGTAACTTCTATTAGCATTACATCCTTTTCTTTTATTTACTTCAAATTATTGTTTCTTAAATGAGATACAAGAAAATGAATGGACAAATATTATTTACAAAAGGATAACAACAAAGGGAAATAAATTCATGTTATTTATCATGAAAAAAAAAATGTAAATGTTCAAGCCAAAAGTATCAGTTTGATTTTAAGTTTCTAGTTCGAATCTTTCAAAATTGATTGAGTCTATTCACAAAAGTGCATTTCATAAGTTTTAGTTTGTTTAGTGCTTTGTTAGCAGGTTCTATAACCAGTATGATAAATAGTTTACATTTCCTTTTAATAGAATATTATTATAATTACCAACACCTATAACTTATTAACTATCAATAATATTCGGTTATGAGACAACTTAATTGTTCTAATCAGATTTAAAAACCAAGTTGTGAAGGTATCTTTGGTTAACTGAAATCTTCGACATTTTATTTTTCTAATCATGAATTTATTTTAAAAATAAAAATCATCTCTTTAATAAATATTCAAAGAATATTTCTTTTATCATTTATTTAAGAGTTCAAAACTTTTACAATAAAATATTTTGACATTATCAACCAAACACAAATCAGGTTACAAAAGGCATTTAAGAAGCGATGTTGGGTATGAAAATTCCTTTTTCATCTACTGTAATCAAATTTTCAGGAAATTATAATTTGTAGGAGTCCTCTTTTTTAGAAATAATACTATAAATATGTCTAATATGACTAAGAAGTTTTTTAAAATGTGAGACAAATTAATTTAAAAATGTTCGTTTAAATTTGACTAAACATTCCCTCACAGTTTCTGAAATTCATAAATTCAAAATAAAACAGATTCTCAAACATGAGAAAACAGTGCTTTGGTCTGGATTTGGAATGGCAAAAAGTAAAACATAGTAAGAATGAAAGAGAGTAAAAATATAATATAAAATTCGATACACAAGATGATGTTGAATGATACTCTAACGAGAGAGAAAAGAAGAAGCAAAAAAGATGAAGAAGGTGAAGAAGTTTCTAGCAGAAACTAGAAGAAACGGTGTCGTTAGAAGGAGGAATCTGAAAGTGCCAAAGCCTTCCAGCACCATTCACCAAGTTCTTCTTACACAGAAACTCTTCCGCGTAAACCTTCTCCACCTTGCGATCCACGTCATGCAAGAACACGTGCGTTACACCGACTTCCTTCCGGTTACGCGCCATCACAGCGGCGGAAAACACCGCCGACATCCGCCCCGGCGCCTCCGCGAAGTACCCCTTGGGCGCGTCGATCATGATCATGTCCCACTCCGTCTCGTAAACCTCGTTGGGGAGATTCTCCAGCGCCAGCTTGCACGCTTGGTTGCCACGAAGGTACGCCGTCGCAGGAGAACACGTGGCTTCGGAGCGGTACGAGGTGAGCAGCGTATTGGCGTCGCGAAGCTGCGTACGGTAACGGACCGTATGAGCCCGCAGGCCCGGCGCGTCTTTCAAGATCGAGTGGACCCACTTAGGATCCTCCTCGAGGAACACCGTGGTGCCACCCGGGTTGAACGAGGCCCACATGAGGGAATCGTGGCCCAGCCCGAAGATAAGGAAGTTGCATGGCCGGCCCAGTGACTTTATCACGTCCAGACTGATCTTGATCTCCGCCACCGATTGCTGCGGCACCACGCGCGAGGTCGCGTAGTGGAGAATGGCGCGCGTCTGGATCGGTGCCGGGTCGTAATTGAATTCTTTTCGGGTTCGGATCCCCAGCGTGCTCGGACACAGGTAGGCGGTTTCCGAAGATCGGCCTACCGTTGAGAGGAAAAAGCCCAGGACAATCAGGCCCACCACGGCCAGGCCCAGCAACCACCGTTTCTCCTGTAACGGATAACGGCTCTTCATTTTTGAACAGTTTTATTTCCTTCCCTTTTGGATCGCATGTATGTGATGATGGTGTTGATTATGAGTGTGTTCTTTATTGTTGTTGATGTGTTATGGGAGATGTAGCATGAAGGAGTGTTTGGAATGATGGAGTTTTGCTTTGTGTTTTAAGGAAAGGAGCTTTGATTTTGTCAAATGTGGAGAATTGGCAGCACTACCAATATAAGGCAAGGTGACAAAAACAAATTGAAATTTATAATATATTATTATTATTATTATTATTATTTTCATGATACGATTTTAAGATATTTTTGGTATGGGTGTAAAATGGAAATGGGCTATGGGTTAACATGCAAGCTTGAAAAAACAAGACCGAATTGAAATTTCAATCCGTCAACCCGTCTTATAGTTCATTCTATCTAATTCATCAAATCGGTGGGTTAGTTCAACGCTGGATTGCTATTGATATTTATTTTTTATTTTTTAAATTAAAATTTAAAATAAAAATAAATAAAAAGGTTAAATTTTTTATATTATATTTTTGTAAATATTTAATATTATTATAATGTAAATTATCAACATTTACAAAAATAAGTTATAACTGTTAACTATAATAGAGTAATTTAATTTACTTGAATAAAAATATTAATTGATTAATTAAAAGCTTAAAAATATTTATATAATTACATATCTAAATATATATATATATATATATATATATATATATATATATGAAGAAATTTTAAAAAATAAAAATAATGAAGCATTCTAATCCGTTTTTTATAACAGATCAGCCCAACTTAACGTGATTAGTTTTGGTGGACCAAACCAAAACCAAATTAATCTAACTATTTCATAATCTCTAATTTTGGGTTTAATTTAAAAATAATAATAAAGCGACACACACGTTTACATTCAATTAATACGCCCTACAAAGATAAAATAATCATAAAAAATTAAATTTATATAGTTTTAAAAAAATAATATCAAAATATAACATTCGACACGTGGCAGTCATTCTTGATAGAATTCATGCGTAACACTTCTAGGAATTCGGAAGTTCTATCCTTGTTTTTCATAATGAAATAACGTTATTTATTTTTCATGTTTTCGATTATTTTTTCATTAATGAATAGAGAGTATATTGAAAATCAGATAAATTGTGTAAAACTGATTGTTAATAAATGTGTTAGTGTTTAAAAAATTAAAGTAAACATTATTATATTAAAGTATACATTATTATATGAAGGGTTTCTTTTAAAATGTTTCATATTTTTATGTGGTTCTCTTAACAGTCAAGTAGTGCAGAGAAAAGTTATCATTCATGCGTGTTCACGCTTCACCAGTCAATTAATATCATTAGTTTCCAAGTCCACTAACTTCTGTATTTTAGTAATGTAAAAATAATGACACTGCTATCATCACTATAACAGACGATTTAAGAATCAAAATTTTAATGATATCAAATTATTTCATGAATAAATTACTGTCACCAACAAAAATATTAAAATTTGAATGAACTGAATCAATAAATATTTTTCTGACTAAAACTTAAATATGAAGGGAAACACCTTCCAATTAAACTTCACATTTTTTTCTACGAATACAATACTTATTTACTTTATGATGAATTAAATTTCAATTAAAACAAAATTCAGATTTAATTAAAAAATATATATTTGTACTCTTACCATTATAGGTTTTGAAAACTTCATGTGACATTTTCAAAAATATTTTAAATGGGGTTATAGAAAAATAACAAATAGTCTCACATCAAATTATCTAATATGGGAAAAGTGAATCACCTTTTAAAAATCATACTTTATTTTTTTTACAATTAATTTAATTTTACAAGCCGTTTTGTGGGATTGAGTTAGGTTCAAAGTCTATTTATTAACACAAAATCAGAGTCATGAATTATAGTTTATCGAATAATCCATTAATGTTTAGTCTCACAAACAAAATGTATATATATTTTAACGCGATGAGGTGTATTAGAAGTCTCCACTAGTATAAAAAATGGTTGCAACGTGTACGGTTCAACATCAAAAACGAAAAATGTTAACGTTAAAAAAGACTGATTACATTATTGTAAATAGTTATCCAATTTAGATGTCGATAAATTCCACATTCTCACGTCATATAACCAATCAACATTAGGAAAGGAGAATTCTAACATCAATTAACGTTGGAGTTCCTCTTTCTTGACATTATATTATTGCATGAATAAACTCTTTTGGGTGTGTAAAAGCAATATAACATCAGAATAGCCCAAATTCCGACATCCAAATCAAGATAAATATCTTATGATAGACAGACTTCGTCCACTAAAGTTTCTATTTCTTAAAGAGTTTTTGAAACTTTTGTATCTTTCAAATCATAAATTTTATGTCTTTGAATTTTAATAAGTTCCTTCATCTCCACCATTTATGTTTTTCTTGTTCATAGACTCATTTTATTTATGCATAAAATTTATAAAATTTGAAGGAATAATTGAAATCCAAAAACCAAAAATTCGAGATCTAAATTTCAAAATTGGTCACAGAATTTCAAACGGATATTCGTATTAATAAAATCTAACTTTTTCTTGCTTGCAGACTTTTTCACATCAATGAATAAGTTTTTTTATCATGGATAGGTTTTTTGATCATGAAGCAACTGTTTGAAATTTTATACATTGAAAATATGAATGTAGACGTTATATTATTATAAGAATTGCATAAGAATGACACACATGGGCTATGGGCTGTCAATAAAGTAATTCAACGTTGGAAAAATGTAATTTTTACGTCTAATTGTTCTTATTCTTTAAAGTTTTCTATCTTGATTATATTGTGAGTTTTTTTTGAAAATGTTTTTTATATAGTTAATTTAAAGTGAGTGTAAACATAACTTTTCAATTTTATGTAGATTAGATTTAAAATTTATTGTTTAATATGATATAGCTATTATATTTACTAACAGGATTTTAGAATTACTATAAACAAAAATCTTATCTCGAAATCATGAAGTGTTTAAATAACCTACACTAAATATTATTAGTTTTGAATGTATCACCTGGTTTTTATTTTTAGTATAGAAGTTAAATGCTTTTGTTTTGTACGCATACATACATACACACACACATATATATATATATATATATATATATAAATTTTTTCTTTTGTCAAAAGATTGAAAAACACTCCATGTACTTATAATTAATATATTATTTATTACTGATAAAAAGAACTTTGGTAACGATCGAATTTAGAACCTCACGTCGCATCTTATGATCATCAATGCGTTTCACTCTGGACCAGTATCGGCTCTGCAGTAAAATGGGTCGTGTCAACAGTGCAGAGAAGAAGCAGAATTCGAAATAGAACTGCTGGGAACCCACTAAAAACTTAAAAAGGAAGAAGGTGAAGTTCAACACCCAACAACCTTTAAACCATGTTGCATGGTTATGCCACGTGGAGAATTAAATTGGGAGGTAGAAACGAGAAGCAGTGGTTGAAGAACAACGTTATTTATAGTATCTGTCTTTCCAAAAACTCCAAAGTCATAATAATCCCAATCTGTGACCTCTTCTTAACTTCACTCCAACCACTACCAGCTTCCTTCATTTATTTATTATTTCCCCTCTATATTCCCATAACCATCTTCATTACACTCCACATGACTTTTTCAAAATTACTCTATTATTTATTTACACTCTTTAAATTATGATTATTATTATTATTATTTTATTATTACACTACTAATATCTCTGCTTCTAACTTTACCACCAAAGAATTCAAGTATTTATTCGCTATTAAAGATTATCGAGACCGCGGTCCAAGGATATTTAACCTCCTCGCCGCTTAACGTTCATTGTTTCACGGACTTAATTATCATAAGAAAATGATAAATACATCTTATTTTATAATTATTTATTATGATAATATATAATAAAATGAAATTTAAAAATGTTTTTTTTTTCTTTCACGTGGGAACGCTCAGAAGAAAAGAGTGTAATATAGTAATTTGGACCGAACGTAACACGATACAACAAATACTGTTTGTACCATGTTCGTTGTTAAATTGGAATAATGAATGGTAGTTGAATTGTGTCGTGAAAAAGAGATTAACGGCGTTAAGGTACCGTTCGATGTTGCAGTAGGGAGACTTAATTGGACACCACCACCACCTCACCTAAGTACATTAAATAGAGATGACCAGCCATTGCATTTCCCAAAAACACAAACACGAGAACGGACAGAGACGACAGAGACAACAGAGACAGAGGTTTTGTGACGATGAAGCGGCAGAGCAGAGTGTTTGCGGTGATGTTTGTGGTGGTGATGGCATCGTGTGGGTGGATGAAGGTGGCGGAAGGCGATGATTTGTCGACCAAGTGCGCGTCGGCGATTGACAAGGTTCCTCCGTGTTTGACTTTCGCGACGGGGAAGGAAGATAAACCGAGCGACGGTTGCTGCTCCGCAACTTCAAGCATAAAGCAGAGCAACCCAGAATGTTTGTGTTACATCATTGAAATGACTCACAAGGGCAGCCCACAGGTCAAAGAGTTGGGTATTAAAGAAGACAGGTTGCTTCAACTCCCTTCCGCTTGCAACATCAAGAACGCCAGCATCACCGACTGTCCCAGTAAGCACTTTCACCTTTTTCCAAAACCCATTTTCAATCTCTTACGCAAACACGACTTATTATCTCACACAACCTTTTCTTTGCAATTCAAAACTTCACCTTTTCATCTGCATCTCTCTCACTTCGTCACAACGCAAACAAACCATCCTTGCTGCAACTTTTTTAAATAAAGAAACAGTTGAAATCCCGCTTCATGTTTTTACCCGAATCACATTTTCTATATACAAAATTTTAATGATGTTTTAATGTTTTTAGTCTCGAAGGAAGATCTTAGTTTTAGTGGTGTCCTTCGCTGTTAAGGTTTTGACTAAACAATTGAAAGTCTCATGGATACGTAAGATGTTCTTGTGTGAGACTTACCTTATTGAGGGGAAGTTCTACCTTCGGTGACATATTTGTCGTTTACGCTATTCTGAAAGGGTACATGAATGAAAATGTTTTATTAGTTACTGTGGACATTTTTTGGTGTGAGAACGCCATGAAGGTTAAGTTCTTATTTTGGTGTCCTTTTAGAAGGCCCATGGATAGTGATTATACTATTAATTTTTTAGCAACCAATTTTTAGTTTATTATATATTTATCATCTAGATTGGGTAAGAGGGCATCGACATTACTTTAACCAAGATTGCGTATATTAACTATACAGTATGATTCTTGTCGCTAATTAAATTGATATGTGACCAAAGAACAAACCCAAGAGCTCACAGTTTCAATTTTAAACCATGTATCCTTCATTTGGAAAAGTAACAGTCTATAGTAAAAAACTCATGGGTGAAAAAATTAACTACTCTGTTGGCATCAGTACATTTGAAGCTTATACGAGTATTTAGACTACATATGCAAGTACAATTGCTATTTGTGTATGTTTTTAAAGTGTTTGATGGAACAAAAATGGACAGTTGTTGGTGTTTGATTGGTCAGTGGTTGTACTAATAAATTTGGTCACATGTCGTCAACCACTAATACTGGATTTCTATATAAGTATAGTTACTGTATACTGATACTAATAATATATACGACATGGTATATGATTTTAATGTGCACAGAGCTTCTGGGTCTATCACCAAGTTCCCCTGATGCTGCAATCTTCACGAACTCTTCGAAGGTAACGCCTGCAACATCAAACACAGCAAGTACGACCCCACAAAGCCAAAACGCTTCGCATGGAAGTATGGTTATACCTAGTATGCCGATGATGATGAGTTTGACCGTTGTTGTGGCTGCAATTTCACCTGTTTTTGTGAGCATTTATACATGATGGTGGGAGGTTGAACGCTGTGATGAATGAAGGGAGTTTAGTCAGTGAAAGTTGTCGTTTTGTTTGCTGTTTTGGTTTTCTTTAGGACTTTCAATTAATGAATTGGTTTGCCGTTTGCATGTGTGGCTTGCCATGGCTTCTCTCTCTCTGGGACCCCATGTAATGCTCGTCCTTCTTTTCTGCTTCCCACAGTTAATATTATTGAATTCTTGGTCGCAGTTCAGAGTCTTAAATGAAGGATATATAAAAAAATACTACACCCGAAGGTAAAATAGTTCTAAATTTTCCTTTTTTTAATTATGTAAAAATAAAATGTGTATAAGTATCCACATTTAAGAAAAAAATAATAATTTTCTGTCGAGTACTGTCCATATTTCTATATTAGAAGTTACAATCTTTGAGTGAATTTTTTTTCTGGCTCAACAATTTTTTAAGTGGACCTTCAACTAATATTTAGTGGAAAAGCATAATTTAATGGAAATACATATGGCCAACATGGTAAAATTGGAACCATTAGATTTTTCGTTTCTTTTCCGCAAAGTAAATGTATAGACCTACCTGTTATATATGATGTTCGGTAAAAATTCGAAGAAATGTTTTACGATTGTTAAAGGTGCTAGAATGGAATCAACTTGTGTTTTTTTTTTGTTCTTGAGTAAAACCATTGCAGAAAACCTAGCAGTACTCTTTAAATATATGAATTATGCAAGGCCCTTATGCTCTGCTAATTGTTATGGTAAAAAGTTTGGGACTCTAAAAAAGATAACAAAACAAAATATGAATAATGTGATTTAAAGTAAAAAGTACTTTAAACTAGAAAATCATTATCTTTAAAACAATGTTTGTTTTTGTGGATTTATTGGATAGGAGTGATGACAAGTACATTTTTTATTTGTTTCTATGGATTTAAACGAATTAGAATACGACGATTTTAGGACGAGTACTGAAATTGCAATCGTAGCATGAGAAGAATATCTCAAGAGATTTACTGTAATTTTGAAGACAATGACATTTTCACTTTGTTTTTAATTCAAATCCTACTCAAAACAGTGCAAAGATGGAATCAATTTCACGTTTTTCAATAGGTTGGAGAATCTATTCCAGGATGTTAGAACCAATTCCTAGTTTGAGGGAACCGGTTTTAGCATGTTAGAATCCATTCTTTGTTTGAGGGAATTGATTCCCTTGGTTCATTTTGTATATGCAACCAACTTTTCTCATATTTTGTTTTGTTTTGTTGCATGTTCGCGATAGTGCTTGACTTGGAGTTGACTTCACGATAGTAGAGTTATTGACGTCGATGGTTGGGCAGGTGGTGGACGCCATTTTGTGTGAGGGAGTTGTGGTGGTGATGGTGTTTCTAATATTTGGTGGAAAAAGATTGGTCCGTGGTGTATTTTACATCTTGTTTTTGTTTGGGAGTAAAATTAAGTTTGCTCATAATTTTTTGCTTGATGAACCACGACTACCTAAAAACCATGTCCCACTTCCTTATATGAGTGAAAAGGATACTCATTTTTTGTGTGTCTGATATACTAGGATGAACATCAAATTTGTACTTTTTATACTTTTCATTTATTTCATATCTTAACAATACAAAAGCCTTTATCATTGGTTGACTATTAACTTTATAAGATCTTATTATGACAACAATGATAAAAAATAATCACTCAAACTCACTTAATTAACTCTGTTACGTGTGAAAAAAATTTAATCAGTTGTAAAGTTATTTGTGTAATATTTCTCACACTCTTCATTTATAAAAGAAATAAATTTTGACATGAATCTAGGATTTACTTAAATTTAAAATATAATCACCTATAACATAACATTATCGATGTATACCTAGCTAACTAATAATATTTAGAGATAACTAAATTATTAAAACAAAACAAGTAAAAGACATTTTAAAAAGGTAAAAATAGAAAAATAAAAACAAAACATTAAAAGAAAAATTAATAAATAAAAAAGAAATAAAAATTTATTATTGTTGAAGGAGAAGATGAATAAAATTAATAAATAAAAAAGTAATAAATATAAATTTCAAACAAGCTTAACCAACCTAAACTAATAATATGTATATCCAGAAGATGAACGAGAAGAATAACAATGAAAATAAATGAAATGAGACAAAGATAAAACCAATTAAAATCACGAATATTATTGTTGAAAGAAGAAAAAAGTTAAAGAAAAGGAGAGACAAGAAAAAATATATTCTTAAATAACCTCAGGAATGCATGCTCGATGAGTAAATATAGAAGTAAATATGTTTACTAAACAGTAATTGCTTACCTAATTTATTTTATATTTTATATATATTTCAAATATTAAATTTGTCTTTAAAGTAAAATTTGGAGGTAAAAAAGAAAACTTGGAGGTTCTGGAAGAAAGCTCCATAAGATATTATGCTAGGATGGGCTTAGCCCTTGGGTGTACCGTGTTTGGGCCTGGAAATATACTATGCCAGTTTTAAAATGAAGTATATTAGATTTGTGTGATTTCGGGTTTGGTGTTTGCGTGTTTTTGTTTCATCGAGTAGCTTCAACTATTTTCCGCCCCGCCGGAGAAGGAGAAGAAGGATCTGTGTCGTGTTGTGTCGCCATGTCTCGGGTAATCATACGCCCCCCTTCTCTCTCTCTCTTTCTCATTCCTTCACTAATGATAGTTATCTCCGATTTCTGTATCGTCTTCTTTAGCCACGCTTCTTGAACCCTAACCCAATCGATCTCGGTTCAATGTAGTCGATTTTTAGGGATTTTTCCATTATTATCGATCTAATTTTGATTGCTCTCCTTTTTCCACGTTATTTTTGTCTTTGGGCGGATTTGTTTTTAATTTGTTGTTACGGCATCGTCGCAGTGAATTCGAATTTCAGACTTTGTGTGGTTTTGCAGGTTGACAACAGAAATTCCTCTGCCGCCAAGCGTGCCAGGACTGATGGTGCGTTGTGCTTTTTCTGTTTTTGTTTTTAACTGTGATGTTTATGGATACTTCAATAGTGTTCTTTACACTTGAAGTTGAAATTATCGTGCATGCGTACTGTTTTACATTCTGCTATCAATTTATGCACCAGTAGCCGTTGTCGCAGTGGCTAATTTCGACACCCACCATTATGGCGTGCTGCTTTTTTATAATGCAATCTGATTGTGTGGTGATAAAACTGAACTTGGGAGCATTTTGATTGGTTTTTGTTTGTAGGTAGCCGTAGGGAAGATGATTGGACTTGCCCCAGCTGTGGCAATGTCAATTTCTCTTTCAGGACAACTTGTAACATGCGTAATTGCACTCAACCAAGGCCAGCTGATCATAATTCGGTAAGATGTTACATGTAGCGTCACAGTGAGTTTTTGAAATGTGATTTGAATCTCTCAAATGATTTAAGGTTAGTTTATTTTATGATAAATGTTATCAATATCATTGTTGGTAGACTATTGGTTTTTCTCTCTCTTTTTCTGCTCTCGTTTTACTGGTATTTCTTATGGTGCTTTCTTTTGTATTCCTACTTTCTATTTAGTCTTTCGTTCCCAATTAAAGGAGAACGTAGAGGGTATAGTAATCAAATGTTCATGCACGTATGCAAAGGACAGACATGTAGTTGTTATTATTTTTCTTTCCTCTAGAGCTACTTTTATCATAAAGTTTTTTTTTATCTATCCCAGAAATCTGCTGCCAAGCCTCTACAAGCTCCACAGGGTTATTCATCCGCAGCTCCTTATTTAGGCTCCAATGCTCCATCTTCTATATATCTTAGTGTCCCACCATATGGGTCTTCTCTGTTCAATGGATCATCAGTTCCTCCCTATGATGTTCCATTTTCTGGAGGATCAGCATATCACTACAATTATGGTAGTCGCCTCTCTGCTGGAAGTCCTTATAGACCATTGCATTTATCTGGACCTGCACCCTACACTGGTGGGCCAGTGATGGGAAATGGTATGCCTATTTCTTGTTTTTTGTCATTGAAGTCAATGAAGTTTCTTCAATTTGATGGGCGAAAATGAATAATCAATTGAAACTTTCTCATGTGTTGACAATGATTGAATTAATGTTACATAAATCTTGCTTCTTTGATTCTATTATGTTATTTCTCTCTCTTTTTGCTTTTCTCCTTTTGGGGTTAATATTACCTTTTTGGTTGGGTATTTTCTTGCAGGTGGGATCTATGGGATGCCCCAACTGTTGGATCGCTATGGCCTGGGTGTGCCTATTGGACCTGGGACAATGGTATGAAGCTGTAAGCTAAAAGATAAAATCAATTGTATATAACTTCAAATTCCAGGACCAACGTTTTTTTATTACTGTTTGTCATCAACTGAAGAATCTTATGTCAAGTTATGCAGTTATTTGTTCATAGTGAACAATATGACTAAAAGCTAGATATGTATTTTTCCTATTGTGGTACAATCACAGGTCTTAGTGGTCTTAACGATCTAAATTTGGTTTTTTGTGGTCACAGCTTATCGATCATGCATACATGGTCATACAGTTTGTTGTATTTTACATCAAAACAAATTACTGGACATGCATATTTTTCATCCTCAAAGTTGGATTTGATCCCTTGTCAGTTAAATAAGCTATAATTTGTAAATTGTGTAATTTCATGGAGTTTGTTGCAAAATGTAATGTTTCATTCTTTCCTGGTCAGGGTGCCAGACCTGGATTTTTTCATGATGATAAGTCTCAGAAAAAAGGTACGGGTTCGTTACTTGAATTCTATGTCTATCTATGTTCGAATGGAAACTGATGTAGTATTATTGTTCCCATCCCCACTTCTCGAACAGACACAACTCGTGACAATGACTGGACATGTCCAAAATGTGGCAATGTCAATTTCTCATTTAGAACTGTCTGCAACATGAGAAAGTGCAACACACCCAAACCTGGATCCCAGGTTTGCTGCCTTTGTTTCTATGCTTATTTATTGTGATTAACTTTTACGTCGTGGAAAATTTGATATTTAACATTTTTTTATAAATGATGATTAAAATTGTTGGATGTGATCGTTGGGCTGCAGGCCTCAAAGTCCGACAAAAATTCCAGTGAGTATCTTCCGTCATGACACATCTCTGTCACTCTTGAATGATGTCATTACCTGATATAAGATCAACATATGTTAATTATGTTTCTTTGTGTTCGCCATTCAGAGCAAAAGATGCCTGAAGGAAGCTGGAAGTGTGAAAAGTGTAACAACATAAACTATCCTTTCAGAACCAAGTGCAACAGACAGAATTGTGGTGCTGACAAGCCTGCTGAGTCTGATAAATCTGCTTCACCATCTGCTGATCAAAATGATCAGGTTTGTTGTCTAAAATGTTTTCATTTTGTTAACCTTCATTTGTTGTTGCAACAGTTGGTTTTCCAAGAGCAGCTTTGTGACATGATGAACATTTTCAAATTGCAATCTGTTGTGAAGTTGTCTTTTAAGTGGATTCTAAGGAAAAGCTTCAGTTTTGCTTCCATTCATTTGAAACCGTTTTGTTACACCTTTTCAGTTTCTTCCTATCTATCCATTGCAATCTTTAATTTGCAATTATTTACTGTTCCAGTGAGTACTAGGACATGTTTGAGGGTTGAGAAGGTCCAGAGTTGTCATCAAGAATTGCTCAATTTCGGTGTCTGACAGTCAGTCTTGTCGTCCTCTATGTTGCAGCAGTTGTCAAGTCACTCACCTTCTCAATGTGTCAAGTTGTTGTATTAACTGAGATGGTATTTTGGTCTTTGTGGATTGTTATGATGCATGTGTCAGCCAACTTTCCTGGCACAAAGGTTATTGCAGTTTCCAGTTTTAAGTTTTCTTTTGGTTCATGAATGTCTGTGTTTAAGTACTACTCTAGGTGCCTCAAAAGAATATGAAGATTCTAAGTTTTTAGATTTATTAGGTGGCATTTAGTTTTGGGTAGTAGCTGAAAGTGTCTTCCTAACATACCACTTAGGATATGTGCATTGTTAAAGAAGCCATTTTCTCTCATGCTGTTGCTTGTAGCTACATGGATGATTCATGTCGTGTCGTTGAATTAAAGTTGGCGGTAGATTATTTAGTAGTTTTTTTTATTTTAGTTTCATTTAGATAAGCGTTCCTAGCCCTATAATATTTTAGGGTTTTGGGTTATCTTTTATGTACCTTGAGTGCTAATCTTCTTGTTTCTGGTATCTCACTCTTATATTTTGTTTCGTTACTCTAATATTTGGTGGATGTCAAGTAGGTATCTGTTGTCCTTTATGAATCGTGTCAATCGGGCAATCTAGTCAATTTAGTAGTCCCTCGGATTTATTCTCTGCAATCATAGTTCGCGAATTTGTGTAAAAGTTAGTATCTGTATTTATGACTAGCATAACGGTAGTCATTCTTTTAGCCCATACCCAAGAAGGACTCTTTTCGTATGGGTTTTGTTAATATACACAAAAATACATGAACAAAATTTGACGACCAGCTGATGATGGACTTAGATGTCTATAAATATTAAGTATCCAGTGTAGTGCTGCTCCGTACGAATTGGACTATAAATCCATGCAGAGGGTGATTGAGAAAAGAGATGAAGTAACCTGATATTGTACTCCAAAGAAGCTTCCAATATATGCTTTATTCTAGAAGCACGTCGGACATTAGCTGATAAAGCTCGACTTTGACGAGTGATCTGTAGGAAGTCTGCTAATAGGGTGTTCTTCATTGCTGGTTCTCACTACGTTAGCTGCATTTTTGTATTTAAAAGTAACCGTGATTTGAGTTATTAGGATTAAACTTAGAATGTCGTATAACTTTTGGCCTGCATGAGGTTCATTAAATCATAATCCATATTACCCTCCTTTTATCTAATTTAATTTTTTGTTCGTTCACGTTTTTTTTGTTCAATTCGATTTTTATAAATAAAATTTTCACTCAATCACCTTAATGTTAAAGTTGTAATGACTTCTTCAAGGTTTAATCAAGTTTTCAATTTTAATAATGCATTTGTATGACTAATTCCTTCCAGTTTAGATCCTTTATAGTTTGTGCGTTTGGATTTAAAGTTGTCATTGTATCCTTAAAAATCAAGGGATTTTATTCAAATTAAATCAAATGAAATATCTAAATAATGGAAATAAACAGGTAATTAATTCTAAAGTTTTTTATTTAATTTTAAATAGTACCGTTGAAGAAACTTACACTATAAGTACGTTTTCAGAAATGTTGATGAGTTGTGTTAACAATGGTAATTGATTTCAACTCGAAAAAAGAATCATCTGCATACACCTGTTTAAGTAGATCGGATATGACCTAAGAAAAAAATGAGATACTGTCTGGGTATCCGAGTAAATTCAAGTTGGGGTATTACAAGTTTTTCAATTGAATTTGCTAACGGTATAAATCATTAAATAATTATTAAAAATTAATAAAGATGAATTGAGGGTGACCATATTCAGTGTTCTGTCGATGAAAATTCGTAGAACTTTCACGTTATAAACATGTAGTTGAAGCTTACGGACATCTTAGCATATTTTTACGCCGTCAGCTGCTCATGCATAGGGTCAGGTTTAAATTGGTTTGAGACATTATAAATATATTCTTATTTACATCCTCTAGAAATACATGTATCTGGAATCATACTTAGACTCAATTAGATGTATGCTCTTTCAATACGCGAATATCATTAGAATATGAAAATTAATTATTAGAAGTGGAAGTTAAACGAAAAAAAGTTTAATCATGGTTTCTATTTTTGATGATTTTTCTCAAATAGATTTTTTAATTATTTTATGTCTCACTTGGACTTAGGTTTTTAATTGTGAAAAGTTGATGTAATTGGATTTTTGCAGTGAAATTGGCTTAACAGCTGACATGACACACATGGTGAAAATACATGACAGACTTAGAGTACTTTACGTGAGACAGTGGTGGGAATTTTGATATTTTAAATATTAAAAAATTAATAAAATATAATTAAAACCTAATTGGAAATTTTTTAAGAAAATTTAATTTAATGGTAAGAGTTGAATTGTATTTATTTTCACAATTAAAAATTTAACTGAGAAAAAATAACCTAACCTATTTGAGGACTGTATAATTAAATCATGAAAAAAAAACATTTAGAGGTAATGATGAATAAAGTTGGTTGATATATTATCCATCTCTGTATCGAAATTTTAAAAATTGGAAGGGAAGGTAAAACAATTCATCAAATGCGGGGAAAAGTTCGGTTGTCATCCCTGGTCACAGGAGACAGCAAGCATCTGTGTCCATCGATAATGGGCATGCAATGCAAAGATACTTCAAAATAAACGAACGCAGTCTGGTACAATATTAAATGTCTCGAGAGTTTTGGACAAAATTCAGAAAATGGAACAATGAGTTGGTTCAATTAATCTCCATTTAAAAAAGGAAACAAATTAAGGAAAGACAGCACAGCATAGCAATCCAGACAAATGAACATTGCATTAATAGTGTTGTTGTTGATCAATCCAGATGGTTGCATGGAAAAGGCGAGTCATAGGGTGCACTCAACAGCTGAAAGTCTTGAAAGCGATTGTTGGTATCACAGTCTGAGAATGAGATGCACATGCTCATGGTGGAAGGGGAAGGTTGTTGTTGTTGATGATCAGTGTGCCAATATTCCGAAGAGGAAGCAAGCGGTAAGCGCTGCTGGTGGTGCGTCATCGATTGTGTTCTAGAGGAGCGTTCCAGTGATAGGAACTTAGTCTCATATGGACCCCATGAATTGCTTGACAGAAGAGAGAGAGCACGGTTAACATCTTGTGCACCATTTGGATCACACGAACTAATGGAATTCGGATCTTCTAAACCTGCAATAACAACCGTTTTATTAATTCTATCAATTCTATCAGAAGGTTGAATTATTAAGAGCTCAACAATAACCTGGAACAATAGTCTTCGCTGCTATACTTCTGGATGTTAGAAGACCACTGTTATCATCAGAAAACATGGATACAATACTGGGTATCTTATCAAAGGCTTTTGCAGGCTTCGGAAGAAAATCTTTTGTCTGGGGGAGCTTGTTGCTATGCAAATTCTGCCAGCCCATGTTTGTAGCACTTCTTGAAAATGCAAATGGACTCATCATTTGCCTCCCATCTGCAAAGTAAGTGAAGCATTTCATACTTTTTTGTCAATTCACGAAATCAATATCAGAGGTTTTCTCAGTAACAATAATGGATAAATGAATTCCAATAAACTACAAGCTAAGCTGTAACATTCACTGTTCATTTGTTAGTTTGTGTTTTGACATTACGAATTTAAAGTTGCTTCTTGAGGTGACACCACTCAATTATAAAAGGAACCAAAGTAACGGTGTTTCTTGCTTACCTACCACATGCTTTGCTTTTATTAAGTGTGCGCTGTCTGGTTTCCTATCACTTGGCCACCGTACTGTGTTTATGCCTTTTACCAAGTGATAGTTGATCATTTTTTTTACTATGGTCCTATTTAGATTACTTTTTTATAAACGCAAAGGATTTTTAAAATGGATTCTCTTTGTTTACTGCTCACAGGTTTCCAAGCAGAAGTTGAAATAAATCGCAAAAACTAAGTACATAACAGAAACACTAGAGGAAAAAACATGCAACTGTCGCTTGCTGGAATCAGTTGAGATCATACAAAAATGGGAATTTGTAAATCGCTGAAAAAGAAATTTCTGATAACATCGTTACGATAAAGGAAATATGGGTCAGATTTTGCACAGATTCACCAAATTTTGTTCCCCCATTTGTTCATATTTTTACCACAAGTTTCATTCTCAGAATTCTCCCAGAAACATTTCATGATATGTTCTACTATGCATCCCAAAATAATAAACTGCAAAACAAGACCAAGGAGCAAGACAAAAACAGTGGATTTTCCAAGAGAAAGGAACGTTTTTGTTATACCATAAGGCGACGAAGACAACGCTGATGGATTTAATTGGACTGAGTCAGGCTGTGGTTTTCGACGCCTTGCATTATGATCTGAGAGACGTTTTCTGCAGCTTCTTTTTTTGTCATCAAACTCTGACAGAGCATGGAACCTTCAACAAGATAATTCAAGGGAAAAAGCTTAAACCAATTTATCTGATATGACCGAGAAAGACAGGAAAATCTTTATTTTAACTGATATGTGCTTGAAAATGTTATTTTTATTCGATGTCATTTTCATCAGAACAATCAGAACTTCATTGAGATTTACCTGCTACATTGCTGGCAAAATCGGCGCTCCAAACCAGCTACAAGCACCTTAGGGGATTTGGAATGACCTTCACACACTCTGTGTTTGCGATGGTAATCTTTAGCAGATGAAAGGTCAAGGTCACAGCCTTCCACCTGGCAGCTTGGATGCTGCAAATTCTGATTACTGGTTTTATATTTCTTTCCTGAAGAAATTGGAACCTCAAAGGAAGATGCTTTCTTGGAATCACTTCCTGCGCATACATCCTCAAAGTACAACCGTTTGCCAAGCTTCAGAGTGAGCAAAGGTTCACCAGAGACTGGAGAAGGAACTGCTGATTGAGAAGTTTCAACTGGGCACAGTTCTTTCTTCCCAGTGGAATCATCCTGAGAACCTTCCAGAGTCAACACCGATGCCTTGCTATCCTCATTTGACAGTGAATTATTGGAAGCTGATTTTGAGCTCCTTGGTGAAGAAGCATGTACTAGTTCAGACCCAGAACATGCACTCCCACCTGATGGATAAAACACCCCAACATTGATTTCTCGATCTGCTTCGTTGCTACAATCAGTTGTTGGTAACCTCGGATTTTCTGTTGCTTTTGTATTGAAGAAGAATAAGTGCTCCCAGTCCCATTGTCCGAGAGATTTTGCATTCCACTCCATCACAAGTCCTTAGAAATTCATATGCAAATCCTCACTGTGATCTGCAAACTACAATTCATATCAAACATAAGGGTTAACTGCTTTAGTTTCTTTAAAAATCATACAAGATCTTATCAAAGAGATTAAAGTGGTTCAAGAAAGAACAGAAACTGGAATAGTGTTTGGCAGAAGCAAAAGGCACCGCGAATACCTGAATAAATGTGGTGGACGCATGATCAACAAACACTTATTAATAATACAAAAATTGTGAAGCGACCAATAATTATAGAACCTAAGAACAGCTAATTCTTAAGGGTAAACATGGCGATCAATCTTTAAAAGACAACATTAAAATTAAAATCACTTGTTCTAGCCCTATGTCAGATGGATTTCCAGCCAGACCAGATGCAGAAGCAAACCAGAGATTTAAACAAGAATAGAAAATATCTTGGCAGCAATAAAAAGGTACTTAGCAAATAGCAAGTGGTAATGGTAAGTAAGTATAACATTGCCAGTGTAAATTAGTTTAACCATACATTTTACCAAAGGCGAATTCGTAACCTGAGATGCTCCTGAGGGAATTATCTTATTCAAAATAACCAAAAGAAAGAACCTAATTACACAAATCAAACAAATCCGTGGACTCCACAGTGTTCTGCAAATCCCGTCCATAACTTTACAGACAGATGAGTGGCTGTATTTTAGTGTTGTAAGACTTCTCAGGCTGATATCAACCAGTCCCCACCGTCAAAAAAAAAAATAATAATAAAGGTGAGTCATTTATGTATTTCCCTTTTAAATTTAAAGTGTATACTAACTTCCCAGCAGTCAATTTGTGGCACTGCATTATTTTTACCTCCAGAAATCAACCTCCATTGTAAACATTATGAAGGGTATTTCATGATTTATTCATTCATGGCAATAGCAAAAAACGGTAACAATCCCTATTTATGTGATATGCAAGGCAATGGATTGCCCCTAGTGATGTGATATGTTTAACTCTTTAACTCTTCCTACAAGTGTGTACTTACCACCAAAACTTCCCTTTCAACATGGGAAACCTTCAGATTCCAATAATTCACATTTATCACAGCAATGTCAGGAGTCGGTCATTGAATGAGACCCCACAACAGCAACAACCCAACAAATCATGACTTCTTGACTTATCAGAACATCCAACACTCTGGCCAACACATCACAGTTTAGGCCCTTGTTTTAGTTAACACAAAATTAAGGCCAACAACCTTGCCTCCAACTCATAAATGCAAGAAACTCCACTTTTAATCCCCAAAAACATATGTTACCGCAGCTAAGCTTTATCCAATCGTAAGTATCATAAACCAATCGATATAAACCCCATAAAAAGAATTTTTTTTTTCTCCCTTAGCTCAAAAAATCTGAGGAAAATGAAGAACAAAAAATGTTATTCTGAATTTTCAATGTAACTGTTAAACATTATACATGCTGGCTTTGGTGCTGAAGTCTAAGCCCTTGTGGAGCCAATGTCAATTCATTAGGTTATATAGGAGGGGTCTCTTTTCTTGGGACTTAGCTAGTACATTAAAAAGCTTCGGTCCCCATTTCCCCTAAAAAAGCACAAGTTTTTTCTTCTTTTTCTTGTTTTTTGCATGAGCAATTTCATTAAGAAAAAAACAGAGGCATCTATCTCAAGCTTTCAACAATCCCACTTTCCCAAGAAAATGATAAACCCACAAAAGTGTAAAGAGTAAGAGAGATGAAGAAACGGGAAACCCCCCAAAAAAAAGCATCTTTTTTCATGGGCTAAGCCAAAAGTCCAGCCTCACATTGTGAAAGCTTTCAGAAAAAGGATGTTGCAATCTGACTCTACCACAAAAGGAAATCACAGTAAAAAGCAATAACAGCACAACAGGAACAGCAGCAGCACTCATAAACCTCACCCTAACATTAACACCGCTAATTAATACCCCTCACTAAAAAAATACCATAAAAAGAAAACCTCCATGTTTGTATCACTTTTGTTCCAAGTTCTCATCTTTAAACCACAAGAGTGGAAATGGGAAAAACTGCAATGAACACTGATACACCCACTTGATCGGTGGTTCTTCCTCTACTCAGAAGAAGATGAACCAGAAATGGGCATGGAATGAATAAGTGAACAACCAAAAGGGTTTCCTTACCTTTCAACACAGAGCTCGAGGTGTGTGTTTGTAAGCTAAATCAGGAAAAGCAGCAGATAACAAACTCAAAACCAGTGGTCTTTATTTCCTTTTCTGACTCTTGTGCCGTTTTGGTTTTGCAGATCAAATTTAGGAGACTCACCTCTAAACTAAACACAATAAGAGAGAAATTGGTGTGGTTAATGAAATTGAAAAACCAATAAAATAAATCAAGAGATGTGAGAAATTTGAAATTATCCAGCCTTTGGATTTTGATTATAAACAGAGTCTAAGCATTCTATTAGCATTGATTACCGTTAATAGCCACATAAACACAAAGAGCTGAACCTGAGCATGTACTCTTCTTCGTACAACACATCTCACAAAACACAACAACCACAGTGTGTGTTCTTTTTGCACTGGACTAAACTAAACAAACACACACTAGTTTTTTTATAATAATTTTTACTTCTTTACATTTTTATTATTTTATCTTTTACTGTATAAAAAAATATTGATATTACTCAAATGGTAGGATCATTTTCTGAAACCAATAGGCTAACTGTTCTGCTCCATAGCTCAGCATAAAAATGGACACATTTTTCATGAAAACGAAAACCAATTAAACTAGCTGACTGTATCTTCAATTTCTTAAAATTCACTGGACACATTAACAAAAAGTTATCTTTCTTCTGCCTTTTGGTCAAACAGAGTGCAATGTTTTAATTTCTTTCTTCTTGTTTTCCCTATTTGCCTTTGTGATATTTTAATTAAGGCTAAACTGAGACTATGTTGTTGAGCCCTATGTGAAAGTGCCTTGGTTGAAGAGAAGTAGTATTATTAGTGTGAATTGAAATTGGAACCTTGGTGCCATTACAAGTGGTCCATCACCGTTCACTTTCACTGTATAAAAATATACTATTCAACAATGGACAAACCTCAACTTGTTATTTGGCCAATGGGGAATCATTAATTACTGGATAATGTGGCAAAATCATTCATTTTCCAATGATTTAGACTACTTAATTAACCAATTATTGATATGATCATAAAATGTAAATCAGGTTGTAATTACGTGCATTGTTTCATTATGTTATTGATTATTATTCACTAAATTTATTGAAGGGATGGGGATTATTTGCAAATTATAAGGTTGTATTTAAAAATAATATATTTAAAAGTGTGTGCTATTTATTGTTAGAAAACATTTTATAACAAACTATATTACGTGAAATTTGATGATAATAAAAATAATATAATAAACTGCAATGATTAAACTTTTATGTTACAAAAAGTTATTGAAAGTATGAATTAACTGAATTTTACATCTCATAGTTTGTGTAATATATGTATACACACAAAGAAAAAAATTATCAGATGCATTATTAATATAAAGCAAGCGGTTCACGTCATAGCAATGTCTCTAACTCTTGTGTTTCATTAATGCATAATATGTAATTTCTAGGGAGTAATAGCTAACACGAATTTTAATATCATAAAGTAAAATACAAAATATTAATATAATTAAGATAAGATTGATATTGTTCTTGGTTTTATCAATTATTTACAAATGATTTATTGAGATTCTTACATATAGTTATTGTTAAGAAAACAAAATGAAACATATTTTCATTAAGTAAATATGCCGATCTCACAATATAATCTCCTAGAATTTTAGTAGAAAATTCGAAAGAAAGAGCAGTAGAAGTTATCGACATGAAAAGTGTGAATTCAGGTTACTATTCAAACTTTTTAAAATATTAATATTACAATGCATGTTATGGTCTTGTATTTACGTGAATATATGTAATACTACTACTATTATTATTTTCCATAAAAAACCCAAATGATAGTAAAAAACTCAAATGATAGTAAAAAACAAGTAAATAGGTTTTATATTCTCACAAAAATAGAAATAATGGAGAAGAAGATGATTTTAGGCAATTCTTCTTACATTTCCATATCTTCATCTTGCATTCCTTGAATATGAAAATTTTTATTTCATCTTTTGAAGATTGTGTTATTTGAAAGTTATTTTTGATTTTCTGATTATTAATTTGAAAGTCATTATTTTCTAAAAAGCTTTCTAATTGTACAATTTAAAAATTAAAGTAGACTTCCAAAAGTATAAAAAAATAAAAAGAAAAAATAGTTTTTTAATTACACGTAATTTTTGTTTTCAAATTATATAACTTTAAAATAATTTTAAAAAAATAACTTTTGTATTGTATAATTCAGAAATATTTTTTAATTTTGAATTTCATATTCTGAAAGTCATTTTTATCTGAGATTATATAATTTGAAAGTTATTTTAACTTTTTATTACATAATGCAAAAGTATTTTTTAAATTTGAGGTTAAACAAAAAAAAAGGCAAAACTAAATTCACAAGAATGCAGGAAAAAAGGTACAGAGGTGCAAGTATATTTTTTAATGTCAATTTACAGTTGGAGTATGGGCCATTCATCCTGATTGGTTTGGGCCTATTATTACCGAGTGTAACGGGCTCACTATTTTCCGTGATCCAAATATTATGCTCCTATTTTTGTACTGGGTATTTCTCTCTGTACCTCCAATTACTTCTCCCTGAACCTCCAATTTTTTTTCATAATTTCACTACTATTCTTAAATTTTTCTTTTAACCTTTTGTCTTTCCTAATAATGTGACCTTGCACCCCCCCTTTTTTCTTTGTTGAAATTCGTCTAAATTCTAAAAGAATTTTGAAATTCATTAAAAATTTTAAAATTTGTTAAAGACTTTGATATTTCGAAATTCGTTACAGATGTAAAAATTTCAAAATCTGTTGAATAAATGATAATTTTATTTCTAGTGTTCAAAAGTAAAAAAGAAAAAAGAAAATGTAATATTAATATTTATCCAAAAGTTAAAAAAAGACACATAAATGCAAATAGGATATCCATAATAATTATAGATGGTTATATATATCTCCATTTGCATTTGCCGCGTTGGGTTGAGGATTGAGATCTGTATCGCCAGAATCCATGGTAAACTCTCTAATCAGATCTCTTTCATTTTCAATTTGCAATGTGTTGCTGATAATGCTTTTTCTGTTTTTTCTTGCTCCCACATTGATTAATTACGCATTCATCGTGTTTTTTCTTCTCATCTGGTTGTTACTTGTTAGCGTTTTCAATCGAGTTGTAGTTTATTCTTGCCATCTGATTCTCTGTTCGTAAGGTCATAATGGTTCTTCCCTTCCCTTGCGCTTCACATTTGATAGATCTGATTTCGGAATGTTGATGTCCGGTGCTTGCATTTTATTGTTAATTGTTAAATATTCTGCAATCTCATGCTAAAATGTTTTATTCTGTTGTAGATTTGTGTTGAATGCATCGTCTCAGTTAGGTTAATTTTTTGACACTAGATAATGGAGGTACCAAGCAGGAGAAAACCAGTGATGTACTGTGTTTGCCTTTTCTTCGTTGTCAATTTTTTTCTTGAAATTAGCGATGCATTTTATCTTCCGGGAAGCTACATGCACACTTACTCGACTGGAGATCACATATATGCGAAGGTTAATTCATTGACCTCTATTGAGACTGAGCTTCCCTATAGCTACTACAGTCTCCCTTACTGCAAGCCGCTTGGTGGCATAAAGAAAAGTGCTGAGAATCTTGGAGAGCTCCTCAGGGGAGATCAGATCGATAACTCTCCCTACCTTTTCAGCATGAATGTTAATCATTCAATATACCTCTGCACCACGCCCCCCTTGAGCGAGGTTGAGGTAAAGTTACTGAAACAAAGGACTCGTGATCTGTATCAAGTAAATATGATCCTTGACAACCTGCCTGTTATGAGGTTTGCCAATCAAAATGGGATTAAGATCCAGTGGACGGGGTTCCCTGTTGGGTACACGGCACCGGATGGTAGTGCAGATTACATCATCAATCATCTCAAATTCAAAGTCTTGGTTCATGAATATGAAGGGAATGGTGTTGAAATCATTGGGACTGGGGAGGAAGGTATGGGTGTTATTTCTGAAGCTGACAAGAAGAAGGTATCTGGATTTGAAATTGTTGGCTTCCAGGTTATCCCTTGTAGTATTAAGAGGGATCCTGAAGTCATGACGAAACTCCATATGTATGACATTATCTCTACTTCAGATTGCCCATCTGAGCTAGACAAGTACCAACCAATTAAAGAGCAAGAGAGGATAGCATTTACATATGAAGTTGACTTTGTGAAAAGTGATATAAGATGGCCATCGCGTTGGGATGCTTATTTAAAGATGGAGGGTTCCCGGGTGCATTGGTTCTCTATCCTAAATTCACTCATGGTGATTTTTTTCCTAGCTGGTATTGTCTTTGTCATTTTTTTGAGAACTGTGAGAAGGGACTTGACACGGTATGAGGAGTTGGACAAAGAGGCACAAGCACAGATGAATGAAGAGCTTTCTGGATGGAAGCTTGTTGTGGGTGATGTTTTTAGAGAGCCTGAATGTTCAAAGCTTCTCTGTGTGATGGTTGGGGATGGGGTTCAGATTCTCGGAATGGCTGCCGTGACAATTGTTTTTGCAGCCCTGGGTTTCATGTCACCAGCTTCCAGGGGAATGCTGCTAACAGGGATGATAATTTTATATCTTTTCTTGGGAATTGCTGCTGGATATGTCAGTGTACGTCTGTGGAGGACCCTTAAGGCAACTTCAGAAGGGTGGAGATCAATTTCCTGGTTATCTGCTTGCTTCTTCCCCGGGATTGCTTTTATTATTCTCACGGCACTGAATTTTCTTCTCTGGGGCAGCAAAAGTACTGGTGCTATTCCCATTTCTTTGTATTTTGAGTTGTTCTTCCTCTGGTTCTGCATTTCAGTGCCACTTACTCTCATAGGAGGATTTATGGGCACAAAAGCCCAGCAAATTGACTATCCTGTGCGAACTAACCAGATTCCAAGGGAGATTCCTGCACGTAAATATCCATCATGGCTTCTTGTTCTTGGTGCAGGAACTCTTCCATTCGGAACCCTTTTCATTGAGCTTTTCTTTATCCTTTCCAGTATCTGGCTTGGGAGGTTCTATTATGTATTTGGTTTCCTCTTGGTTGTTCTTCTACTGCTTGTTATTGTTTGTGCTGAAGTGTCGGTGGTCCTCACATATATGCATCTTTGTGTGGAAGATTGGCGGTGGTGGTGGAAGTCGTTTTTCGCTTCAGGCTCTGTTGCTCTCTATGTCTTCTTGTACTCCATTAACTACTTGGTTTTTGACCTGCAGAGTTTGAGTGGACCTGTCTCGGCTATGCTTTATCTTGGCTATTCACTGCTCATGGCAATTGCAATCATGTTGTCAACTGGAACCATTGGCTTCCTTATGTCATTTTACTTTGTGCACTACTTGTTCTCATCAGTAAAGATAGATTGAAGTTTGCTACGCTATCTCTCACCAACCAAGCAAATGGCATGCTGGAAGAGGGATTTTTCTTAATTGGTAGTTCGAGTTGTTTGATTTCAATGTTGCGAAAGTGACTTTCTCATCAACCATAGTTTTCGTTAGTTATCTTTACATATTTAGCTTAGTATTATAAATTACATCAAGGTTTCTATTAGATTCTTCAAGATTTCTTCTGCTTGATGTTGAGGACATACATACCATTTCCTAGTGGATGTGGAAAATATCAAATAAGTTATAAATGCATTGAAAATTACATGCGAAATTTTAAATAATTGATATTTTGGTTTTATAAACAAATTGGACAGAATTGGATGTATGCCTCCTTTCACATTCCGTTAAAGACTAAACCAGTTCAATGGATCCTATAGAAATAAATTGAGCCTTATTTTAATGTCGGCTTCTTTATCTTTTATATTGTGAGAGAAAACATGCGAAAATCTAAATCCAATTTCAGTAGATAGTTAATGAAGAGATCGCCATTTTCGTCCATCTGACTCTTGTTGCGTAGGAAAGTTGACTTAAAATTAAATTAAAACAGATAATAAGTATTTAAAAAAATTAGAAACAAAAAATAAAAAAAATCATAAATATATTAATGGATTTTCAGATCCGTTTAACATATTTTAATGTAATTTAATATATGTTAATATTTTAAATCATATTTTATTAAACTAAAATCAGTAAAAAGCATTTTCGTCGTGTAAGAAGAAATAGGTGAAGGTGCAGAGAGAAACAGCCTTTTGTACTTAACAAATGGACTATCTATTTGATGGACCGAAAATGGTATTAGGATTTAGAGTGTTTCATCCTACACCTCTAACATCTCATCCTGCACCTCCAAAGATTCCATTTTTAACCTTCTGACATATGCACCTCCAACTTTTCAAAAAATTTTATTTTTTAATAAATATATTTTTAACTTTTTCTCTCTCTTATTAAAGACACTTTAATAAATACATTTTATTTTTTTCTCTTTCTTATTAAAGTTCCTCTGTACCATTTTAATAATAATCTAATTTAATTTAAAATTTAAATATTATTTAATATAATTTTATATTTTAATAATTATTAAAATATGATTTATATCATAATAATAGTTATATTAAATATATAAAAATCAAATAACTAAAATAAAAGTAATAATGATAAAAATAAAAAATAAAATAATAATAAAAATAATATAAAATTTGCTTTAATATATTCAAATATATTAAATTATATTAAAATATATTAAAATATTACAATAAATTAAACAGTTATTAAATTTTGAATAAAAACAAAATTTTTAAAAACTTATTTATTGGATACCGTAAAATATGTTAATAGTTTTTTTTTAAAATTTACTAAATATTTAATTTAATTAAAAATAATAATATTATTTATCATATTTTTCTAATTTAATATTATTAAAATATTATTTATATTTTATAATAATTTTATTAAAAAAGTAAAATAAAATAACTAAAATAAAGTTAATAATAATGAAAATAAAAATAGTATTGAAAATCAATAAAAGATATTTAAATATATTATATTATATTAAAATGTTAATTTAATTAAATAATTATTAAAGTTTAAATAGAAAATAAATTTAAAATTTGTTAATCGGATATAGAAATCCGATAACGTATGAATCGGATATGGGTATCCGATAAGTTTTCAAAATTTTGTTTTTTATTTAATTTTAATAATTATTTAATTTAATTTAATAATTTAATATAATTTAACATATTTAAATATATTAAATGTGATTTTAAATATTATTATTATTTTTATTATTATTATTTTTAGTAATTTTAATAAAACTATTATAAAAATATATATTATATTTTAAATAAAAAACTATCCAATAAATAAATTTTTAAAATTTTTGTTTTTATTTAAAATTTAATAACTCTTTAATTTATTGTAATATTTTATTATGATATAAATCATATTTTAATAATTATTAAAATATAAAATTATATTAAATAATATTTAAATTTTAAATTAAATTAGATTATTATTAAAATGGTGCAGAGGAACTTTAATAAGAAAGAGAAAAAAATAAAAATGTATTTATTAAAGTGTCTTTAATAAGAGAGAGAAGAAAATAAAAATATATTTATTAAAAAATAAAATTTTTTGAAAAGTTGGAGGTGTATATGTCAGAAGGTTAAAAATGGAATTTTTGGAGGTGCAGGATGAGATGTTGGAGGTCTAGGATGAAACACTCCAAATAATAAAAGAACTTCCTAAGAAGCTAAAAGCACTTATGCTACTAACAGAATTTTCTCACGTTTAGCAATTACCATTTATTTTATTTTAGACAAATAGGTTTCTTTTTTTATAGTTTCTGCCTTGCATTGTTAATTCTTATATCCAAACAAAGTAAAAAATAAACCCTTTTTCAATAGATTATCTAAATAAAATAATTTGAAGTTTAATTTCCAAACTAAACCTCTACATGAAGGAATTCTTAATGTGAAATGATCTCTCATTCTTTTATTTTTATTTTATAAAAAAAAAATAAAAAAATAAGATTGAAATTTAAGTTCCAAGAAACTGAATTTGGCGAATTTTCACCTGATTTTTTTAATTAAAAAAAAATGAAATTGATATCTGTTTTCCCACACGCACGCAGGGGAAGAAGAAGGATAAGATTAAAAAGCAAAGGCGAAAGGCACACGTAAAAGAAGGGAATCCATGATGAAGAAGAAGATGATGACGACGATAAGGAATAGAAAGAGAGAGATAGTAATGATGCTGCTACACTCTATTCGCACCAACCATTAACGTAACCAAACCTAAATCTCTCTCTTTCTTCCTTTCCCAAGGCAAAACCAAATCATTACTCACCGCAAAATATGCATCTTAGGTTTTCTCAAACCCAATTTATCATCATTCTAATTCAATCTTTCTTCCATTTCTTTTCCTTCAATTGCAAATCATATTTCCCCTTTTCTTCAACATTCATTCACTTTCCACCTTTCACTTTCTTCTATATTCATATATTCATGCACAATGCTTCATTTGCGGGTTATCTTCCATTTTTCAAAAATTCAATAACCCCATCATTTATAAGTGTGATTCTATCATTCCTTATGCTTGAATCCAGATTCATAATACATAAAGATATTATGTGAGACATAATCATGTAGTAACTTTGAAATGACAGGTATACACGATCAGACCACTCAAAACCCACATTCTTATTCCTCAAAATAATCCAAAAAATAAATGAACTTAAATTGAAGAAGAACAATTTATTTATTTATTAAAGAAGAAAGTGGAAAATTTATTTAAAAAGGAAAAGAAAAGCGTGAGTATACATAATTACTACTTATTGCGTGACACTTATGACCATTGAATGGAAAATGGAATGATGTGCAATGTCGCTTTGGAGGGTTACTTTCGTCAACTCATCATGCAGGGAGAGAAAGACCGTGAGGACAATCCTGCGGTGTGCGTGGAAGAAGGGCCCACCAAACACAACATCGTCCGTTGATCTCCAAAGTGAAATTATGGCGTTGCCGTGCTAAACACTAACCCATGGGACACGCTGCTCGTGAGTGACTGAGTCTTTTTCAGATAATTTTCTTTTTACAATAATTTTTAGCTTATTTTTGTGAAGTCATACTTTTAAAAAGATAATTAAACAAAAGAATGCTAAGATTTTGAAACAGAGAATAATTTCCCTACATTTTCGTGTAGTATGTTCTTTAAAATTATTTCAGAAGTTTGAGTTTACATTTAAATTGAGGGAAAGTGTGGAATGGAGGTTGAAAGATGCAAAAGAAATAAGCACTGCATCTAAATGGTGGATGACACATTCTTTATACATGTTTGATGTATTGTCCCATGTATAGAGAAACATGACAGAGGTTGTTGTAAATGATTCAGTCCTATGTCTTGAGAAACTGGTTAAGCTAAACAATAGTGTAACTTGCATTAATTTACAGATAAACATGTTAAAGTTAGAGTGTTTGAGGAGATTAAGAAAGGTTAATGAGGTGTTGGGTTTGTTGTTTGAATGATTGACCAAACTGGATAAAAGTTGGTCGTGAGATTATGGTCCTGAAAGCAAGTACTAGCCAAAAGGTGGGTCTGGGGCCTAACAAAAAATCCACACAAATTGTTCCCACAAGAAGAGAAGCGTTTGGTGCAATCCGTGCCTAACTTGGTTCCAAGCAAAAACTTCAATAACTTAACAAGATCACACCTTTATATATATATATATGCTTCAACCATCAACTTCATATTTTCTTTCTTTTATTTCTACCCTCAGTAACAAGAAATTTCAATTGTTGTTGTTGAAAGCAAAGATTAGATATAGATATAATAAAATTAATGTCACATGTGTAACACGAAGAAGATTAGACAAATACACACGCTTAATTTTAGAATTAGTTTTTAATTTATTAATCAGCATAATATTCGGTTAAAATTTGCTGATAATTTAGTTGAAACATGTTTGATTTGATAACTATTGATGATTTTGGTTGGAAAATCCATGAGCATTTTGTACGTTGTCTTGAATGTCTTAGGTTTATTTAGTGTTGTTTGGCAGTGTGACAGAGATGTGGTAGTAGTTGTTGTAAAAAAAAGAAAAGAAAAGAGAGAAGATGATGTAGAAGGCATAGTAATAATAAGGCAGCATAAGAAACAGAGTGGAAAAAAAAGGAGGATAAGAGAGAGAAAGAGAAGAGAAAGAGAAGAGAAGAAGGAGAAGAAGGAAGAAGAATCGGGCGAATCGTGTGAGGGGCATGGAAGGGGTGGCCATGCTGAAGCAGCTAATTGGTCAGCTTCAGCAGCTATTGGACTCTTCCCATTCCCATTCTCTCATTCTTCAACCTTCAAACCACACTCTCTTCTTTCAACAACAGCAACAACATCAACAACAACAAACCAGGTCCCCCTCTTTCTTTTTAGATCTATTTCTTCAATCTTTCCACAATTAGGTTTTAGGCCCTCTCTCTCCCCCCCTCTTTTTTTGGCCCAGCACCCTTTTTTTCTTCTTCATTTTTTATATAACTATTATATTTATGTTGATGTTATTGTTGTTGTTAGTCTTTGAAGTGAATTAACCGGCTTGGTAGGTAGGTAAGTTAGGTCCTTTCTGCTCTGTAATGTGAGTGTCGGAATTATTCATTCTACTCCATTTTTTTCTCATTCCCACGCCTTCTCCAACACAATCGCTTACCCTAAAAATGCACCAATTCCTATTCTCTTTAACTTTTCTTCCTTGATCGTTTTTTTCTGTGTGTTTGTGTT